AAAAATGACAGCATCGTCGCCATCAAGTGTAAGCCATCTGCTGTATATATCTCAAATACGATAGTATAAAAATATATATAATCATCTATAAAGCCATCTGGTACCATGCCCGTTTTGAACAAATGATTGTTTTTTTACAAATTAGGTAAAATAAACATTCTTACGTAGTTTTTATCTAAATATGTGCATGTCGCATATCAAAATAGCGGATTCGACGTTTAAAATTCATACTTTTCACCGTTACCGTGTAGTGTACCTGGAAAATGCATTTTTTTTTTCATAAAAAAAAAAAAACTTACATCTCATATATACTATATGACCACCCACCGCATCATAATCCAAAGTTTAGATTACAAACAAATAACTAAATAATAAATATATTCAGTTTTTTTTAACAAATTACCCAAAATCAACATTTTACGTACAATTTTTATCTAAAATGAAAATAATTGGCGATACTGTACGGTTAATTTTGATTTATCATATTCGATACATCGTGCACCTTAGGAATAAGCTAATCACCACCTCGACATGCGTACATCGTATTTTTATTGCGCTAAAGATACAAACGTTGCAATTCACACCTCCGACCGACACCGTCATCAGGGCGGTTACACGACTACGGCTTATACCCCGTCGACGACGTCGATGATGACGACGACGACGACGACGACGGTGACGACGACGGCGGCGGCGACGGCGGCGGCGGTTGCGATGACACAATATAACGCGCGACCGTTTGACGTACAACTCCTAGGTGGGAGGGTGTAGGCAGGGGCAGAGTCTTTAACATTATTGTATGTGACGTGATGACCTTAAGGGCGATTATATTACGTAACACCTGTGATGCTCCTGATTGAGGGGCACGCGTTGCTGCATACGTCACACCGACAACGACGTAACGCCGAGTCAGCTGACCACCTACCCTCCGCCAACCCACATTATTATCGCAATTTTAACAATAACACACTTGATTTACAACTTTAACAATTACGATTGACCTTAATTAACCATTTAATTACCCATTAACACTCTTAATTTATTACTTTTTGATGACGTATGACACTAATTACCATGGCGGCATCCTTTGATCCCCAGAACCCGCTATTTAGATACTACTACTAATTCGTGTAATCCTTTCGTCAGTGGTACTTGTTTTAGAGCACCAACCTTTATGTTACCCATATGTTCATCGATGATTACCATTTTATCACCCATTTTAAAGTCTCCGTCATCAGTAACGGTTACACTGTAGACCACATCAAAGTTTGATTGTTGTTGTTGTAACGGTTTAGACAGCACGACTGTTTAATTTTTACCAATATCATCGTATTCCTCGGCATCGTATTCCTCAGTATCATTCGATTTACGATTTTTAAATAAGTTTTTTGTTTGTTGTGCAATTTCTTCCAGAGGTTCAACGGTAGGTTTCAACGATACGCATGCTCGCGTATAAACTCTCTAGTTTGGTCCACACCACGTTTAAGTTCCAGTAATTTTTTTCTAATACTTTTTTTAGCTTTTATAATACTTGTTATATTCTCTTCCGACACCGACATTTTTTATTAATAACCAAGTGTCTAAAAATCAGCTCTTTTTATATAAATATCAAAACCTTTGCGATATCTCCCCTCGTTTAAAGGAAAATCTTTCGCTATCAACAAAAATTCATATCTTCCAGAGTTCCAGCATTTACCACACATTTCTTTAAATTCTATAAAACTAATATCTGACGAACAATGTTCATCGTATATGTATTTTAAATTAGTTTCGTCTTGTTTGTATAAAATAATCATATTCGTATTGTCTCTGATGAGTTGTTTTGGGATACGAGAATACGTCTGCGATAAATAAAATATATCGATACCGTTGTGTCAACTTCTACAAAAATATGATTCTATGTTTTTTTGTTTTTCACATACGACATCGTCAAATATAAATATAGAATTAAAAGTTGCTGTTTCCGGTGGTATTACTTGATCGTTATCGGTGTAAACGTTTATATATACCCCTTCTACGTCATNGAACGTTTATATTTACCCCTTCTACGTCATTGATAATATTCTCTAAAATTTTATACTTGCGTTAATCCGGAGTTTTTGTATAGAGGTATATGTTTTTAAATTTTAAGCCGTTTTCTTCCGTCAGTAAATTAAACATTACGTTTGTTTTACCACAATTGGATGGTACGCTAATTATACAACGTATATTATCGGGTAGCAAAGGTCCGTGTTTCATTCGTTTCGATTCAGATTTATTCAAATCGATGTTGGAAACAGGTAACTTACACGTTTGTACTTCGAAAAACATCACGTATAAAAGATTGANATTTTTACTTCGAAAAACATCACGTATAAAAAATTGATACAAAACATTCACTGTTTTAAACGATGATTCGACATCGACGATCAAACAATAATAAACGCGGTTACGGTTTAGTTAATTCTCTTATAAATAATCTCCCTGTAGAAGTTCATTGGCCAACGTATCAATACCTAGGACCCGGTACGCGATTGGAAAAACGATTGGCTCGTGGCGATCCCGGAAAAAATCCGTTGGATTCAGCAGCTCGTGATCACGATATAGCATACAGCATATATAAGGATATTAAAAATCGACATAAATCCGATTACATTTTACAAAACCGAGCTTGGGAACGTTTTAAGGCAAAAGACAGTACGTTCGGAGAAAAAGTAGCGGCATACGCAACTACCAATATAATGAAAGCGAAACGTAAACTCGGAATGGGAATAAATTTCAACTCGATTGTCAGTTCGAGTCGAAAAGCGATGCGTAAAATGAAGGGTAAAAGTGCAAAGAAAGCGAGTATCATTGCACTTGCAGCGGCAAAAAAAACATTCAAAGACTCGGCTCGAAAACCTACTACTCCTCGCACTATAAAAATACCAAAATTTGGTGGTGCGTTACCCTTGATTCCTATTTTCGCAGGTCTTTCTGCTCTCGGATCGTTAGCCGGTGGTGCTGCAAATNTGGTGTTTCTGCTCTCGGATCGTTAGCCGGTGGTGCTGCAAATATAATCAAAGCGGTGAATGCTGTAAGAAAAAATAAAAATGTAAAAAGCTCAGTTAAAATCGGTGGGGGTATGCTTTCAAAAAGAGGATCAGCTTTATATTTGAAACCATTTCAAAAAAACTAATTCATATGCTACCCAGTGATCATCCACTNTTCAAAAAAACTAATACATATGCTACCCAGTGGATCGTCCACTAAACAGCGATGATATTATAAAATATGCGAGATTATTCAAACTGTTTCATTTTCGTAATGTCTTTTCACGAGATAAGTTACCTAAAACATCAAGAAAGTTTGAATGTGCCGTAGTAAATTTGGATGATGATACGGGTAAAGGTACGCACTGAGTAGCATATTATATAAAAAAAAAAACTGTATTTTATTTTGATTCGTTTGGTAATTTACCACCGCCTTTAGAATTACGCAACTATTTAAAAAGTTGTCGTATAAAATTTAATTACACTCGTCTACAAGAGTTCGATACGTTTGTGTGTGGACAATTGTGTTTGAAATTTTTACTGGAACGATGCAACGGTCATTAACGTTATCTTTTCAAGATAACCAGTCTAGAATGATCAGCACTTTTTTTCCACCCATTGAACTAGATGGAACTGCAGAATTAGCACTTTTGAGTTTACAAGCATGCAATCTAAACCAAACGTTAGTGGAAAAAATAATTATTTTCGTGTTTTAACCGATGCAGTCAATCTCGGGAATTCAATGTCCATTAATGAATCGTTTATTGATTTATCAATACCGATTGGATCTTACGAACTAGATGATATAGGTAAATATCTCTCGGACGAATTGAAAAAACATAATATTATTTTCAAGTTTAAATCCAATGTGAATACATTGAAATCGGAAATGTTTTGCGATAAAACAATAGATTTCACAGCAAATAATAGCATAGGAGAGTTATTGGGATTCAATAAACGAATGTTTGAAGGTGGTATAGTGCACGAGTCGGATCAAATGGCTAACATTAACCCGTTATCATGTATAAGAATAGAGTGTGATATTGTACATGGCGCATTTGTGAACGGACGCGAGACGTGTTCGATTCACGAGTTTTATCCTTTGGTGTCTCCCGGCTATAAAATTGTAGAATCACCTAATAATCCAATATATTATCCCGTATTGACTAATCAAATAGATAACGTAAAAATTGAAATTAACAATCAGAACGGTGAACTTAGTGATTTCAGAGGTGAAAGTGTAACAGTTCGTGTTCATATACGTTATGGGAATACAATATAACGTTAAAAGAAAACGTTTTCTCGACACTGACAACAGTCATGTTTCAAAACTTCCAGTGTTAACAAGAGANCTGACAACAGTCGTGTTTCAAAACTTCCAGTGTTAACAAGAGAAAGCTTGAATACTCTCTTGAACCTTAACACGGCCGGTTATAGAAAGTGTACCAGAAATCATGTGAAAAAAAGAGGCACGGTACGGGATTAGAAACCGCGACCCAAGGCGTCCTATAGACAGACCTTACCACTAGGCCACCATGCACTTATGATTCAGATCCCGATACACTTTCATTTAGGTTGATAACGTGATATGCGGCTGAGGGAAACACGGTACCGTAACAACCTTGGTTACACGCTCGCAAAACATTATGGAAAACATTCTGAACATACACGAAAAGCCGTACTTCGAAGAAAGTATAACAAAATTTGAGTATCATTCGTATCAACCATTTTCTAGTAATGCGCGGTCGAATAATGATGAAATACGGATTGCGATACAACATCAAGATTTGTATACTCTTCCCAGTGAATCGTTGCTATACATCGAAGGCAAAATAGAGAAAAGTATGGAAATAGGTGAGAGTGTGTCATTTGTAAAATTAATTAACAACGGCATTATGTTTCTGTTTGATGAAATTCGTTACGAATTAAACTCGGTTAAACTTTATAAAGTAAGAAACCCTAGTATAACAACATGTATGAAAGGTTATGCCTCTTTTCAAACGGCAAACCTTTACCGATATCAGAACGCTGGATGGAATGAAAGTGGTGACAGTAAGTCGAAATTTGAAGTTTGTATACCTCTCAAATTAATTATTGAGTTTGCGGAAGATCATCGTAAAATTATAATCAATTCTCGACAAGAACTTATATTGCATAGATCCAGCGTGGATATTAACGCATTAAAATGTGAGCGNGATGTTAACGCATTAAAATGTGAGCGTGCGAATGGTAAAATAAAAATCCCAAAAATAATGTGGAGAATGCCACACATAAACGTAGAGGATAGTGTTAGATTGAAACTTTTGAAGACGTTAGATTCTCGTAAACCACTTTACATCGCTTTTANTGCGAATGGTAAAATAAAAATCCCAAAAATAATGTGGAGAACGCCACACATAAACGTAGAGGATAGTGTTAGATTGAAACTTTTGAAGACGTTAGATTCTCGTAAACCACTTTACATCGCTTTTAGAAGTTGGGAGTTATTTGAATATCCATTTTTACCACAAACAACAAAACATTCGTGGGNTAACAAAACATTAGTGGGCCGTAAAGACATCTACACATACTGAAAAACCTAGAATGTGATTATAGCGTTTCAAACTAAACGTAAAAACAATATATCTGCAGATATGAGCCAATTTGACCACTGTTCTCTATCATCACTCAAAGTTTTTTTAAATTCAGAATCTTATCCATATGACAGTTTAAATATTGATTTTGATAATGATAAATATTCAGCGTTATATCAAATGTATTCAACATTTCAAGATAGCTTCTATAATATTGAAAATGGTGATCCTATTTTAACTAAAGAAGAATTCAAAGATACCGCTCCTTTGGTTGTCATTGATTGCTCGNTGATACCGCTCCTTTAGTTGTCATTGATTACTCGAAACAGAATGAAAAAATTAAAAATGCTCCTGTAGACGTTCGAATTGAATTCGAAACCAAGATTCCTATACCAAACGATACGTCAGCATATTGTCTTATATTACATGATAAAATTTTCGAGTACAACGCAATGACTAGTGAAGTACACAAGGTAGTTTAATCTATGTTATTTCAAATCAACACATTTACAATGGTAATTGTTATATTATAATTTGTGAAAATTTACAATTGTAATCATTATATTATTTTTAAATTTTTTAAATAAATAATTATCATTGTAAACAATTTTTTTTATTTTTGTTTTTCAATTTTTTTTCATACTCTTCCATCGCCTTGAGAGTTATTAAATCTACTTCTAATGCTCTTTTTTCATCGTAAAAATCATTGTTCCCACACGTAACGTTTCCTAAATTTATAATTTTTATAATTACAAAACATTATTGTTATTATTATTATAATTTTTTAAATATATGTTATTACAATGCTCAAATGATTTTTACTTACGTTTTATTTCTTCGTTATCATCATCATCCATAGATTTTACAATATGATCCAATGTGTGTTGAGTAATTAACTCCATCAGACTATCTTCCATGTTTGAATTTTCTGACGGTTGTGAATCTAAGTGAGAATTCACCAAAGAATTTGCATTATCCTGCCATGTTGCTTGAGTAATTAACTCCATCAAATTCTCCTCCATACATGAATTTTTCCAGATGTCAACCAGAGAATATATAATTATTCTCTATCGATGCAACAAACGAATCAACATATGATTCATGACCAAATAGTCTCTAAAAACCCTTTCACGTAAATTTTTGTTTTTAACATTATGTGTTTTAAATAAAATAATTACCATATCCATTGCCTACGGTGGATGTTGAGTACAATCGATTATGGAATATTTATCGGATGATTCTATTTCGACTTGAACGGGATAATCTTCCATGAACCAAACATCAGGGAATAATTCTTCAGTCTATTAAAAATATATTAATTCTATTATATTTATATAAATAGAAATATTTTAAGTTTTTNGTATTATAATTATATAAATAGAAATATTTTAAGTTCTTACTAAATCTTGTGAGAATTCTTCAATATTTATACTGCTTAAATTATTAAAATATTCTTCTTCGATACCCGACAATGAATAGGTTTTCTTGTTTAATTTTTTTTGAACCTGTATTGACATGATGTGGGTTTCAATTCCAAATAATGACTAACACCCTACAGTCTCTTTACACTCACAGTAAAATTCAAAGTGATGATTTAGCTTTTCTTATGATACTGTGATTGGTTTAAATTTGTTGACGTTTAAAAGAAAAAAACATCTGGAGAGAATTTCATGAAGTCTAACGGATATTTTTGAATTTTTAATACGTTTCGTTTTTTCGCAAATTTATTTAATACTTGGGTGCATGTACAGTTCCTATCCACCTCAATAACAACAACCATAATTTTAGAAACTTATGTTTTATATGTAGTATTTAACCCATGTGAGTACAACATTTTTAACATGATTATTATAAGTTCTTAAATAATAATCAAACAGCGATTAGACGTAAAAATATTTATTTTTTCAATTAAAAATAAGTTATAATACGTTATATTATTCATCTTTTTTACAATCATTTTAGTAATATTATCGTTTTCTATTATTAAACAGTTGATTCGAAAAATCCATTACAACTTTGAATATCATCAACATCATCGTAAATATACTCGAAGTGATTTTCCAAAAGATCTGGATCGTTATCGTTGTTTCTAAAAATATTTAATTTAATTTAGTTTTATACAATAAACAAACGAAGTAAAGTATTGACCTAATATTTTAATTTGTCATTTGCATAATATCCTGATTGGTTTGATGTTTGAAATCCACTATGAATTGATCCCAAATACGTTTAATAATACATTTATAATCGAAAGTAACGATTTCTTTGTACAATGCGGCCGAAGTTTTTGACATAACTGATATATCCGTATTTTTGACGATCGAGTACATTAAATTTTCGAGTAATAGTATAAACTTGTTTATTACTAAATCCTTTATTTTTTCAAAAACTTCTTCACTCTGCATACACAATAATTTACAAGTTTCCAATTTCTCTTTTGCTACCTCCAGAAGACATGATTTCATTTCTTTCAGAACAATTAGATTTTCTTCCGTCAATGACACACGTCCCATTCCATGTTCTTCAATACCTTTACCCGAAATCGATAGATAATTTTTCGAGAAACATTTAGATTTTACAATGTTGAAATTTGTGTTTAGATAAATTTTTGATTTACATGAATCATCCATGAACGATATCATTTCATCGATTAAATGTAAAAAATCAGTAAATTTAAAGATGTCCATCCATAAATACATAGTCTGTGTTATTATTATTATCACTGGTGAATAACGATCGTTAATCCATGTGCAACCGATGTGTATGAATTTTCTATCTACAAAACTCAAATTGAATACAGATGTTCCCAGCATAACAAAATCGGGTTGAGATGGATACCGCGTCGATAATTTAACATTTTTTACACCTGCACTTATGTTCATATTAAACATCGCACTAATATACTTCACTAATCACACACGATTCAGACATACGACAACACAATAGGAGTTTTCTTACGTTCGACCACGATTTATAGATATTTCTGAAGAGGGTGGGGAAGGATTTGAAATATGGTTGGTTGTTTATTCAAAGAAACATAAATATAATAAGATGATTTAATTAATAAAATCAACGAGTCGATAACAACTTTTAGACCAGTATTTTGGAAGTTATTAGCATGTTATAGATATAGCTGGAGGTGAAACGTGGGTGTTATTTTTATCACTAGTGACTTGACACGATCATTCACATCATCTACTCTCACAACAGTCGTCCTCATATCGCATTCAATTACATACCTTCATCTCTTTTTTGGTCTTTCTCTACCTCTTCTTCCTTCAACATTCATTTCTATAATTGTTCTTACAGTTTCCGATTCTTCTCTCCTCATAACAGGACGAAACCATCTAAGTCTATTTTCTCCCACAAATGACGCTACACCTATACTCCCTCCTATATGCTCGTTCCTTATCCTATCTTTTATAGTCATTCCAGTTATCTATCTAAGGATTCTCATCTCTGTTACACTCGTTCTCGGCTCTACTTTCTTGTCAACTGCCCAACACTCTGAACCATACATCATAGCTGGTCTCACTACAGTCTTATAGAATGTACCTTTTACCAGTGGCGGCTCGTGGGTCTCGGAAGTGGTGAGGCAAACTTTTAATTTAGTAAATTTGAATAAAGAATATACCTATTTTTAAGATTATAGGTACACGTAGATAATAGCTGTATTAATCGGTAACATGTTAATTCTTTAAAATTTTTATAAATTATAAGATGAAAAATTATAATCGTTAAATACTTTTATACATTGACTGATAACTGATATGACAAACGTAATTCGTTTGTTGTTTTTGTGGGGTAAGCATAGATTAGGAACAATAACGACATAATGTCGATTCCATTAATTTATATNATAAGATGAAAAATTATAATCGTTAAATACTTTTATACATTGACTGATAACTGATATGATAAACGTAATTCGTTTGTTGTTTTTGTGGGGTAAGCATAGATTAGGAACAATAACGACATAATGTCGATTCCATTAATTTATATGTAAAATGTCGTTTCGCATTTGAAACCACCTGGCACACGATGGTGTTCACCGCTGAGGAAAATTTACATCAGCCTCATTTTACCAAGTATTCACGACTCTCCCCCACCAATCAATCTTAATAATCCAGTATAGCAACTGAATCCAAAAATAGTTTGCCTCTCGGACCTCATCGGTTTGCTTCGTAATCGGTAGTGTAACGTGTTGTCATTTTTTAATCATTAACTAACGGAGAGCGCAGACCTTTGGTTTCGGCACTGACTACCGTGTTATATCTCGCTGTGTTTGTGCAGCGCCAGTCAGGCTCAACATTATGTTATCTATTTTCGTCCTATTATCTTTTGTTCAAGATTACAAATTGAGTTAATTATAAAAATAAATTATAATATTTTGAAAGATATTTGATAATGATAGAGGCTCGAAATAAATAAATTATTAAAAGATGAATTGCAGGTGAGATTGTGCCTCACTTGCCTTACCCGACGAGCCGCCACTGCCTTTTAGCCTCATGGAATTATTTTAACGCATCACACACCACATTTTGTTACAATAAATAAATTTTTAAATCACTTACAGAAAAAAATAATAATTTGGGAATTTATGTTTCTTTTAATCTATTGTTTTTAAGTTAATAAAAATCACAAAATTTATTTTTTTATAAATTTTTAGGAAGATGAATTTGTGACTGTCAAAGTTAAGGTTAGTCATATTTCAAAATAATTCATGGCTGTATTGAGGTGATCACACTAAATGGTAGACTTTTTAAATCAATAGAAGATATTCTGGGTTTAAAAAAGTTGCTGATCCTTTTTTTAAAACAATTAATTTTACACCAAACGCAGAAATGACACGCGAAAACTTAATCTAAAACTTAATATAAATAGCATATGCTATTTATATTCGGTAACTTGTCTTTAACGAGACAAAGGACAATTTTCTTTGTTTCAAAATAAATTTACCTAATCGCCATGGTCGAAATATACTTAGTATTAATGTACTGTACATAAAAAATTCAAAGATATTAATACGCACTTTAGCCATTACTAAAATTGATAGTAGTAAGTCTGTCAATTTGAAAAATATAGTTGTTAATGTACTGGGGAAGGGGGTATAATCTTAAGCCTCTGGGCACTTGCCCTTGTCCATCTCTAAGGAGCTCAAATGGTAATCACATTTTATAATGAAAATAGAAATAACACACGAACTATATTATAAAACGATACTATTATTTTATTACTAATACTTGTAATTAGTTAAGTCTAACTTATAAAATCACTAAGGAGATACTTATGACATTATTTTAGTAATAACAGACTGACAAATACACAATTGCCTATTTATCAACACTACATGAGTACAAGAACGTACAATAGGACAGTACTGAGACTGAGCTCCGACAAATAAACTTGTAAGTATGTGTCTATAAATAATTCACTATTATAAATTAAAAATATGTATAAATAAAAAATATACAAATAACATATTCTAATAAATGCCAATATTAATAGTGGGGGTTAAAGGAAAGTTAGTGTAAGTCAAGTTTTCAAAATAATTTAGTTAAGTGATATACACAAATCTTTAAAGTTTTATCTATTGATATGAAATTCGAAAAAAGTTGTAACTCATAATCTCTACGACTTTTTTATTACATAAAAATGTATAAGTATTTTAATGAATTTATAGTATGGACAATTTTGTGAAAGTTACATTTCAACAAAAAATGATTTAAATAATTTATGACGAATGAAAAATATTTTGTTTTTAATTCTCAAAATTATAATTATTTTAGAATATATCTAGTGGTCAACGATAAATCAATTAACCTGTATATGTAAGATATATATGTATTATTACGATGAACTTTATAAGTTGAATTGTCATAAGCATTAAATTTAATATACTTTAAAAAGTGATATGTTTATAAATGAAAATAATTCAACTAATATAAGCCTCAAAAATTATGCTAAGATTATATTTAGACTTCAGTCAAATATATAAAACAGTTAATACAATTCAGTTTCTAATATTACAATTTTTTTATTTTAGTATAACAATAATTTAAAAAGATAATTTATTATGGCTTACGAGAAACTATTGTTTGTCACATTGATTTTATATCTTCCAGCCTTTTCTGAGGTAAATTTGTTTAATATTCCTTTTAACTAAATACAGTTTAATATAATATATTTAACAAACTATGCTTTAAATCTAAACGAGTCTGAGAAATTGTTTTGTAATATATTTTGTTTAACCTCGATGCGTAACTATGAATTTATTAGTTATATTCTTCTGGGTTTATTTTTCGTGTCAGTTATTCTTCAAATTGATCAGCTTTTACTGAACCGAATTTTCTCATTAACATGTTAAAAAATCACAAAACTTATCTAGTTGAAGGTCCTAACTATTAGGTCACGCTATGACCTAGTCAGACCACTCCTAGTTTTAAATATATTTTTATTCTATTACTATTACTTTCGTTATTATTAAATAATTAAGTTTTGAACATTTCTATTGTAGCATCTATTTAAAAGCCTAGAGTTGTATAAAATGATTACTATGATTTTTATTGAAATGATTTATTTCGATACTAATTATCAAAAATAGTGATTTTGACAAAATGTTGAGTTTTTCTCATAAATTTGCTCTTGATAGTTATTTTATAAGTTTTCGCCAATACATCAATATAAAAAATACGATTTTCTAATAATATTAATATTATTATACATATGTACATCAAGCTCTTTAATTTTTATAGACTTTTGCTATAAAAGTAACTAAATATTACTTAATCACTTAATAATTTTTTATAATATCCTTTTTTTACAGTATTAAATTATTGTAACAATTTCATACTAAATTTAATTACTATAATAATAATTATTTATTCATATATTATACTCAAAAATCAAAAAATTTCTATAAGAATATAAGAGTTGATGTTGATTTGGAATAAGCCACAAATTTCTTAAAATTAAACACTATTTATAGATTTGCATCGAAGCGTTCTTATAATAATGATTTTAAACAATGTCAGATATTATTTACACTTGTCTAAACTATGCCACGTCCCAACAGTACCTCGACCTTACTGTGCTACTGTTTTTTTTTACCATAGTAATTTAAAATTTTATTAAATACAGGACATAACATTATTTCTTTCTGAATTTTGCATAAATTTTTTGTGTTATTATAACAATTAATGGAGTTGAAAATACCTTCAAATTTTAATTTTAGGCAAAAAGGTTCGATGACAATTTTTTTAGATAGTAGATCTGCGTGTATCTCCTTCACAAATATTTGAATAAGTATCATAATTAATGGATTTCAATCTCATTTTTTGTGAATGGTTAGAGGAAATTTTTTTTATTGATTTGTTCATAATTCAACCAATGTTTTGTGTTCTGTTAGTGCTGTTATCTTACTGCTATATATGAAAATTGAGTTTACTACGGGTGAAAATGAAACTAACGAAATTTTTCTAACATGCCCTTTACACGAATACCACTGGTTTGTTCTCTTGTAAAAGGTAGTAATTTATTTTTAAATTATCTTTAGATAAATCACATTATAGGTTATTTTGGGTCAAAAAGAGATAGGGTAGGAGAGTGGTTTTTAGAATCTTTAAATTATATAAGGCTTTTAATTGTCTTCAAGTTTATACTCAGCTGATATATTTCTTTAATAGTTCTCCGAGGAATATTATCATTAAAGAGATTTTATAAATAAAATCTCTTAGATAACATGTTTAGCATTCGGAAGAAACCCTTATTTATTAAAAATATGTCGTTTCAACATAAATCTCAAAAATATTTTTGGATTAATTTTAAAAATATTTCTGGTATAATTACAATGGTAAATGGGAGCCGTTCAGATTTATAAAACTGAAATGGGTTGGTAAATGTGTAAAGATTTACAAAACGAGTCCATTTTAACATGTCTGAATCCCTTTTTAATATCAAATATACTAAAAGTTTGATGAGTTGATTAAAAGACAATTATTTTGTCAGGTTTCCTAATTATTACAAGAATACTCCATCACTATTAAAGTTCCCTTACTTCGGATATGATGTTGTTTTTTAAGATTTGTTTATTTTTATGCGTACTTTCTCTATTACTTGTATTATTTCATAGTTTCTGTTTATAAAAAAATAACTCCATTCTATTTAATTTTACCCTATTGGATAAAATTAATTTATTTTTTGTTTTTCGTCATCATCGGTGTTTCTTGTTAACTATATTTACTCTATTTTCTAATTTATTAATTATATTTAAATCTTTGCATAATGTTAAGTCTAGAATAGGTGTCGTGCTATTATTAACTATTGAGAAGGTTATTTGTTTAGGTGTGTTTTTATTACACATTGTAACTCTACTATGCTTATGGATATTAAAGTTTATAGTTATAACGTGTCCCTAATATAGTTTTAACCTAATATTAATATTTTTATGAGATTTTTAATAATTTAAGCTTTCATAATTTTTTTCTGGTAATAAGTTAATCTAAAACCTCGTATTTAACTTACAAATAACATTTAAATTTTCTACCTTAATTTTTCCAGTCATTAATTGTGAAAGTTGATTTCATCGACTCCAAATAATTGATTGACTGTCCCATTGCTCTATAATTTTTGATATAAGCCATTTCTCTATTTGAATTAGTTTTGAAAAAACTGACTTCAAAATAGGGTTTCTATGATTCTTGCATTATTTACCAAATGATGTACACTTTCTAAATTCACGTGTGGCGTTGCGCCTCTTACATAAGTATATGTTATGAATTTCCTTTCCTTTGTTTACAAATTCATATTTTTTCTTTTATACAATGTTTAAAATCTAATGCGTATTTAGTGATGGTGCAACTTCATTAGTAATTCTCACTTGTTCCTTAGAAATTGTCCTCTGTTTGATTATTGCTATTGATTTTCTAAGAAGAAGTGTTTTATTCCTATAAAACTCTTTTGTAATGTGGATCATTGATGTTAAGAACATATTGGTTCCTAATGATTAAGTATTCTAGCTTTTCATATTCATAGATTGCTACGTTTAAGTCTGTAGCATAATTTTCTATGGATTGTCCTACTTTGCGTTTATATTTGAAGAATACGTGTGTTTTATAAACAATATTACTTTTTCAACAACAATACTTATCAAATGCTTTAATGGCTTTATCAAAACTAAACACATTAACTTTATAAAATTCAATTATTTTAAATTTATTGTACACAAACAGTCTTCTTCTATAAGAGTCAGCATTATTGCTACCTCGGTCTCGTCTGATTTTCCGGCTTTATCAGTTGTTAGAAAATAAAAGACAAAACGCTTCCTCCTATTTCTCTCTAGAGAGGTTATGAGATCTATATTAGATACGGTTTTGTCATCGTCTGAGAACACTTATTTTAACAACAGAACATTCCATAAGCGTTTTAACTGTTTGGGTTTGGGATGTCAACAGCGAATTGTTTTATAAGTTTACTAAATACTAATGATCAGAATGATTATATATATATTAATAAAAATATATAATATAGTATAATAAAAAGTGTGGATTATCTAATCTAATTTAAGGTTGGGTAAGATGTATGTTTAGCCAACGGGCTCCTACGATAACGGTTGGCCCGTATGACTGGTAATACTCAACACAAAGAAACAAATGACTTAAACAAATGTATACCCAAATATAAAATAAAAGAGATTGATGTGCTTACAGTTATTATTTGTATATATTATAAAATAATATGGTTATCTTGTTCAGTTTATAATTAATAAATATACTGGGCGTCCCCTAATACAAATGTAGATACAATGAATAGACTAAACTATAAATAAATTTACATACAATATTATAATAGGATTTAACTCGTTCTTTCTACAGATTTGACTAACTTCACTATGATAGCTTCCAACCTTTTAATATAACTGTCTAACAATCACGGACTACAACCGGTGTTAAAGTTTTCGTTAATAATTTGAACTTCAATAAGATCACAACTTTTAGCTCAGNTCACAACTTATAGCTCAGTTTTTCACGGCTCTACGCAATAGGCCGGAGAACAACAATATTGTAACACAAAAAAACACGCGTACGTCGATTACGTAACGGTATCACGATACAATATAGCACAACAAAACATTAGCATATGTCAACCATATCTAGTCAGCCGACAGACTGCTTGACCGTGAAAAATGTTTGGCTCGGTATTGTCAAAGGCCGCAGTATATACTTTCAACCGGTACACGTTATCAATACCGACTGAGGAGAAGATAACATGTGCTGTTATGAACAATGTATATCAATGATATACAAAATTTCATTCCAGCAATTAATTTGACACAAAAATATAATTAATTAAAATGACATAATGAAATTTAATTATTTATAATATCTAGTTATAGACATACACAATTAATAAACAATAGAATAACAATTAATACAATTATAGTTTAACAGTATCGTAATATAATTGAATAGTATATGAACCAGTTCATAATTTTTGAGTTTATAAGGAAGTATAGTCAAATTTTTGGATTAGATAATATATTAGGTTAAATAGGTACAGTTGAATTACTAAGATTCTTACCTTTAACATGAATATCGTACTTATTTTTATTGTTTTCATTATTGTTAAGGTTTAGGAATATTATTGTAGATGGAATAATCTATTTCTAATACTTAATCAATATATTGTAGATCTTACTGTCATTCTTTATTAATGAAACATTAGGAGTTATTACCACAATAATTTCAGAAAAAGATAAGTAATTGAAAGAAATATTAACTAAAAAATGATTTGTAAATCTATGTTAAAACTTACTTTTCCATTGATTTTACATAAATATTACATTTTTTCAATAACCACTATAGATATTATTATTAAAATTTCAAAAAAATCATTTTACAGCCATTTTCATTTGTCATTGAAGAAATAGAAAATGATGATATCTCTCCAGATTTCATTTTAATGCTTAATCAAATTGAATCTATAGTAAGTCCAATTATATTTCCAGAAAAAGCTCTAAGTCCTTTTGATGAAGAAGAGGTTGACATTTTAATGAATAAAACTACTAAGCCTCCACGCAGTATTATTGAAAAAATAAACCTTTTTAGTAATATTACAAAAGCTGAACAGCTGATCATAGAAAAAAAATTAAACGTGAGAGAGAAGTATGAAAACAAAAAAAATTCACTGCATTGTATTAATACTTTAATTTTAAATGCTATTATCTGGAATATAAAAAATTCATTGTTAATTAATGAAAAGCCAAATCCAGATAAACTAGAAATTTTTGAAAAATATAAAATGTATTTATCTCGTATGCTGTCTGTATTATATTATGGCCGTATTAGAGCCAAAAGATGGCTTACTTATTTATATGACAAATTGTTAAATATAGCAGATACAGAGACAAATAAAATGATAATGGAAAAAAAATTTATAAACAGAGAATTTTGTTTTAAAAACATCGAAGATGCTTATAAGAAGTGTGAAGATAGTAATTTTATTCCAAAAAATCCAAGACTACGAACTGAAGATGAATTTTACAGTTTTTATAAAGTTTTTGACATCATCGAACAGTTGTATAATAATGAAGAAATGAACCGGGGCTATATTTATGAAAAAATGTTTAGTATGGAAAATATAACGTTGTACTTTTTACAAGATCAGTATAAAATAATTTTTGGACAAATGTCTGTTAGACAATTTGATTGGCAAGTAAGTAAAAATAGCATAGAAAAATGTAAAAGAGATATTGACATGATTTATCTAAATCGTGAATGGTCTATCGAACCTTTTCTTTGGAAACTAAACTATCATTTAAAGTTTCAACAAATTGTGTTTACACATATTTTACAATATATTTTATTTCATATGATCCATTTTCTTGATAGTTGTAGTACTAAGACATCGGTAGTATGTTGCGATTGTTCGCCAACACAAATGTCAATTAATCAATATAGAAACTTGTGGCATCTTATTGTGGAACCACTAAAAACTGTTAATGAACTATTAGGTTTCAAGGACACTTTATTAAATCAAATATTGATAATTTTCGAGGCCAAATCACCAAAACAGTCACAATATCAAACATTATATTATCAAGTTAAGATTTTACACAGACGTTGTTTACAGGAATTAAAGGTACCGTTGACATTTACTGCACATGAACGAAGTTGTGATGAAATACATGATGAAATTGACAAAGTTGCTATTGAAATGAACATTAGAGATTTTGAAAGTTATATTACAGGAGTTAAGACATTATTAAATCCTATCGACAATAGTTTGTTTTTTATTAGATTTTTATACCAAGACTTATTATTTGAATGTAAACAAGAATTCTTCCCTTGTATTTGTGAGTATAGACCATAATTATGGTTACAATGATATATTTTAATATAATTTTTAAATACATTTTACAAAATGCACGATATAATTTTATATTATGAATTTATTAATTATTTATATTTAAAAATCCAAAAAGTGTGTTTCAAATTTATATATATATATATATATCGAAAGTTAAACGTAAAAAAATAAATTTTCATCAATTATAAATGTGTTATCCATGTTTTTAATGTTTATTAATTTAATTTAAAATTTTTGTTTAATAATCATGTATTTTCATTTTTCACATTTTAGGTGACATCGAAAATCTAATATAAAATATAATTATTAAAATTTCAAAAAAATTATTTTTCAGTCGTTCATTTGTCATCGAAGAAATTTGCCCCACATAGCAATTTGTAATTTCCACTTTATTAAACATTTAACCAGTAAAGTGGACCCCCTTGTAATCCGACATGTCTATTATTATTGGGTATTTTTTTTTAAATCTTCGCTATTGTAGATAATGCATGATTGAATAGGTTACAATTGTGCCACCACTATTGTGCTCAAAGTATAGATTCTTTTTTTACTGTTTATTCATTATTTTTTTTTTCGTATACGTACCTAGTAAATTATGTTGTCACAAGCCCAAAAGCGAAAGCACAAAACACTGACAATTAAAGGAAAATGTGATATTTTAGACCATTAAAATCGTAATGAATCTTTTAATAGTTTAGCAAGTGAATATGGCGTAGGCCAATCTACAATTTATGATATTAAAAAAAATCATGAGAAGATTAAAAACTTCGTATCAACTACTGACTTTGGGCCAGGCAAGAGCCAGACACTCAAGTAAGCTGAACATCCAGAAGTGGAAGAAGCTTTATAAATGTGGTTTCTTCAGGAAAGAAATAGGTATGCTCCAATTTCGGGACCCATGTTGGCCATGAAAGCTAAGTTTTTTTATAAGGAAATTATAAAAAAAGATGATTTTGTAGCTAGCAAGGGATGGTTAGAACGTTTCAAAAGTCGTCATGGCATACGTTTAATGACTATAACAGAAGAGAAACTTTCTAATGATACTACCTGCATAAAGCCATTTAAATTTAAATTTTTGTAAAAGGTGAAAGATTTAAATCTTAACCCATCACAAGTGTACAATGCAGACGAATCAGGACTTTTTTGGCGTGTGATACCAAACAAAATTTTCGTTTTTTAAAACGAAAAATCCGTATCTGGGCGAAAATTAAGTAAAGAGCGTGTAACCATACTACCATGTGCAAATTCTGCAGGTACACACGCGCTAAAAATAGCGGTCGTTGGAAAATCTATTAAACCACGTGCATTCAAAAACATTGATTTGCCTGTATACTATTATGGTCAAAAAAGTGCGTGTATGACAAAAGACCTTTTCAAGAAATGGTTTGATGAATGCTTTGTACTAGAAGTTTTTGTTCAAAATGGTTGAAAAATCATAATTTTTCTCAAAAAGCGTTATCGCTTATTGATAACGCTCCCGGTCATCCATCTGAAGAAGAACTGTCAACTGAGGATAAATGCATCACTACGACGTTTCTTTTACCAAATTGCACTGCACTGATTCAACCAATGGATCAGCATATCATTCAGTTTGTCAAGCAAGATTATAAGAAAAATCTACTTCTAAAAGCTATATCAAAAGATCAGCCAATAGAAAAATTTTTAAAAGAATTCAATATGAAAGACTTGGTTTTTGCTTTTTGTCAATCATGGAATACATTATCTTCGTCAACTATTACATCATCTTGGAAAAAGTTATGTTCGGATATAGTCACCAGTCCTAGCAACGATCCACAAATCAGTGTAACTTCGGAAGTAATAGAGCAAGTTGCTGCTGAAACACAGATAAGTTCGCAAGATTTGGAAATCTAATATCATGGAATGAATAAGGAGGAAAATATTTTTTATGAAATGTCTGACGATGAGATTACAAAAGAGATATCTAGTAATACAACCATAAATCAGGGAGATGACGACGACGTAATTGCAACTACTCCGCAAGTGATAGCACAAGATGCAGCTAACGCCTTTGAACTGGGTTTGTAATGGGCTGAGGAGAATGGTGCATCCTACAACGAACTTTTACTTTTAAGAAGACTGAGGGACAGAGTGTTGGTCTCACGTTTCAATAATGTTAAGCAAAAAAAAATTGATAAATATTTTCATGCTTAATAAATTCATATCATGATTTTCATTCATAATTTTGACTATTTTAATATGTACATTTATTTAAACACAATTACATAGTAATTGTATTCCTTAATGTAAAGTTTTTATTTTTTGTAAGTTCTCTAGCATTAATGACGTTAATTTTATAATAAAACATAAGCTTTCTATTGTGTTGTTTAATTTACTTAAGTTAATACATAATTAACTAGTACATAATGAAGCATGATTTCTACTTCATTAATCTACTTCTATTCATTTCTACTTCTATAATCCGACAAATTCGATAGTTCGACACTGACCTGCAAAACATTTGTCGGATTACCTATTCACTGTATTTAATTTCTATTAATAGTTAAATATTTGTTATTTAATGTTTATACGAGGTTTAATTATCCTTTTAAAGTTCATATTCAAAGAAGATTAAAAAAATTATCTTTGATAAAAATTTAAATAATGCTTAAGTTTAAATATTTAGAACTGTACGTTTCAAATATTTTCTGTTAGTATAAATTACAGATAATAATGATAGGTTCACGCAATATTTAATAACTTTGATTTATACATGTAAATGTTAAAGGTTAGAGAAACCTATATTTAAGAGTTGCCGCGTATCGTAATACATAGAGCATTCAGTAAGTAAGGAAAAAGACTTCTATTGTTCTTATTGTTTATAACAATTTACCTATTTCCTTACTTACTGAACACGTTGTACATTACACAAACAATAATAATAATACATATTATTTTTATGTTATTATAATGATAGTGATTCTACAAAGTGTTCAATAATTAAGGAAGCAGTTATATTGTTTTAAACAATGAAAACAATATAAATCAATTTCCTTACTTACTGAACACTCTACATAGCTATAGAATTTATAGCTAAAGGTACATACACTCTACATAGCTATAGGTGTTTTATTCTATTATAATACGCCAATAAACATGATATATTGGACACACCAATGTCGCCCAATAAAACTCAAATTCTAAAATCGTCAAAAACAATGTTTATTATGATATCCAATAAACGACGACCGCGACTTGCAAAACAAAATTATATATATATATATATATATATATATATTGAATTTAATAAAATATTTGAATTTTTATTATAACTTTATTCGTTTATTAGGTATAAACATAAAAAGTTTTCAATTTTTGAGTTTATATACATGTTTAATACACAAGGGATAGTAAATACTGGTAGCTAATTAGTCTTTTATGACATTGCTGTCACAGTCACGAAGTGTTTATTGTCAATTATGACTATCAACAGATATACTTTCTGTATTGCCAGTTAGTGTATTTATAAACTTACAACAATGTGCCTTACTACCATTTATAATAAATGCTGTGTAGCTGCGAATATCAATGTCAAAAAAAAAATGAATTAGCTAAAAAACTCTGTATATATTTATTGACTATGAACGCATAGCTTACTATAAATAACTTATTGTGGCCTATCGGAAATATTGAGCATACATTTTCTGTAGCGATAGAAAAACCAGTGCTTGGCTTCATTAAAGTATTCAATATACGATCGTCGGTTGGTGTCTATGTATTAATTTATTATTTATTTGTAGTATTATAATTTTTAAAGTTTAAAATTTAATAAAATAATTAGGGTTGTTAAAAAACATGTTTTTTAAACCTGTTTAAAACATAAGTAAACTACTTAAAATGTACAATGAGACTAAAATTAAATTGTAAATTTTTGGTGTTTAAAAAAGAAACCGGCGATAATATTGCCATAAATTACATAATTTAATAAAACGTATTTAATAATTCATAATTCCAAAATAATGTATAATCTACATATACAATAAATACACCTGTTAATTATGAATCTCATATTTAATAGTCAAAATCATTACTTTAATATTGATTAAAATTGACCCCAAAAATTTTAGAGACGGTCTAACGGAGACCATCGCTAAAATATGTGACGGTTGATGTTGAGATTAAATCAATTGATAAAATGTTTAACATAGTATGTTAACTGTATTTATAATAATTATTAAGGAAATTCACTTTCCGATGATACGAATATAACTAGTATAAAAGTTGTGTAATAATTATTTAGTTGCAAAGATAGTAAATGTTTAGATTTTAAAAATGCTTTTACGTACACACACAAAAAAAAAAAACCCAGCACAGGGGGGTCGAGGCACAGTGGTGACGTGACATATTTGGATCAAGTATAATGATATCTGACAGTGATTAAAATCACTATCATAAAAAACGCTTCGATGCAAATCTTTAGATAGTGTTTAATTTTAAAAAATAGGTGGATTATTCCAAAAGCAACATGATCTGCTAGTTCGTTATTAATATCCTGATTCAGATAAAGTATATCAAATGAAAGAGGGATTATTAAAAAATATTATTTCTCATAAAAAAATTGTAATGATCCATACATTTTTCAAAAAGTTATAGCATAATAAAGTTAAAAATGGAAAATACAAAATCGAAAATTTTCACACAAAAATAGCATTCCGTAGCCATTTTCACCATGAAGATAAAGTCCGAAATTTTTTTTTACCATAATAAAGTATATTACATTAGCTTTAATTTAAGATATATATAAAAGTGTCAGACCTTCCGGAACACTTTCAAAATTTAAGTTGAAAAAGTTCTACTTTCTATATGCATTTTTATGTTTTGAATCCCCC